TCAATAATCATGTTGTTGATCAACAACTGATCTATGCATCCTCCTCGGCCACGTGCACATCCGACCTGTTACGGGGCCAGCAGACTGTTAGCGGTGATGTGAGACCACATAAGCTCCGATACTACAGATGTGAAGAGTTTATTATGGAAGGCGGGCAGGTTATAGGTCTCCAGTTCTGGGGTTTCGACAGATCACCTTTCTTCGGTAGGAGTACGGTTGCACCGAGGGAGAACCAGGGAGGTGGCACGACTTCCGAATCCAACAGCTGCTGGAATATGCGAAGCAAGGCAGGATGCAGTGCACTAAACTTGAACCAGAATGGTCTGATGTTGTCAGGCCCAGCAGCACGCCAGTGAGGCATCCTTCCAACTGCCAGTTGGAACAACTCCAGCGTTATGACTGCATCCTCTTGTGGCTGGACATCTTCATTGGCAAGAGCCTCCCGTTCAATCCATCCGTGTCTGCTCACCGCAAGTGGCTCGGACCAGATGCCTGACCAAAAATCATGCAACGCCCCCATACCAGGCCGAGTCTGGTCACTGCAGATAGCCTCCTGTTTCTCCAGAGAGCGGTAGAACTGGCGCTCGTTCTCTCTGAATACCTGATTCTGTTGTTCTCTCTGAATACCTGATTCTGTTGCTTTCTCTGAATACCTGATTCTGTTGTTCTCTCTGAATACCTGATTCTGTTGTTCTCTCTGAATACCTGATTCTGTTGTTCTCTCTGAATACCTGATTCTGTTGTTTTCTCTTGATGATGTCATCTTTACACCGTCTGATTCTGGCGGAAAGCGCCAGCAGCTCCATTTTCTTGCTTTCCAGTAGAGCCGCGGCCTCATCACTGCTCTTGACAGGATATCTGGTGAACCAGTGGCGTGCACCGAGTCTTGAAAGGGGGGTTTCTAGAGTTGGTAAATTTTTTTGGAGACCCACTATAAAATATTATTATGTATTTGTGCACATGCGCATCCCCCGAACATCCCGTCGGAGATAACGGCGAGGGCTAGGGAGGAGGGAGGGGGGGGGGACTCAAGATCAGGGGTGCAGGGGGCCAATGAATACTGGTGCTGATGAGATGCGGGGCTCGTCCGACTGCTATCATCAGATCATGCCGGCACAAACGCGTCTGAGAGGGAACCAGGTACAGAGGTAGAAAAGACAGAAATAAGAGTAATGAGGAATGGAGGGAGGGGACGATGTTGCATGAAAATGTTGGCACATGTATAACCGGTAACAGGATAAAAACGGGTTACCTTTTACATACCAGCACTTGAAAAAGTATTTGCAAAGAGGGTGTAAAAGTCAATGACTCGTATACATGTATGTCATATTGAACACGTAAAAGTTTGATAGGCCTAGCCGCCCAGGCTACACTACAGTCTATAAGTATCACTATGTCTATGGTACTTCACTAGTCCACTCCAGGCATGTTTGGTTCATCAAAACACTGCTTACATTCGACGGATCTTTCTTTCTGTTCTTATGACGAAGTTTTCGGCATTGTGCATGTGTTGGCAATGTTCCACATGATTTCAATAAAGAGTTATGGGCCTTGCTTCGATGGAAGCTCACGGAAGAAAAGCGAAGCTCCGCGTCCTTGAGTCGCGGCCGGAGCAGCGCTTCGTTCTGAAGCAGCGCAAGTGGATCATGGACGCACATTTTTACGTCTTCCAGTCGACAACGTTTTTGACGAACATCTCTGCTGCGCACATGAGCGAGAAAGAAAGGCTGTGGAGATCTTTATTTGAGTCAACAGTTTGGAACGAGATATCGTCAATCATATCCTTGAACTGACTTGCATCGCGCGTGCTTGACTCAAATTTCGAGACAGAACGGATTTCTTGAACGTCATCACCAATCCAGGAGCAAACCAGATCTAGAGATCGATCTCTCTGTCGCTACTCTCCACTGAAGAAGGAGAGAATAATGTATTTTGAACTGCATGCAAAGCAACTCTCTCTCACTTCAAAATAAGGACATAGCCACTGCACTGTAAACTGCCCGTCGATCGACGCGTATGCAGGATAACCAATCCAGTAGGCACGCTTTTCCTTTGGCAAGATTGCCCGAAAAAAGGTGGTTTCCAGACACCAAAAAACTCATACGGTGCACGCGCCTGTGAACAATCTTGGGTTTCCAGCTAGGATGAAACTTGTGAGGCGCGACACATCTTTCCTCACATTCTCAATGTTGCGTTGTATCCACAACAAACAGCCTGGCACAATCTCCCTCCCAGGATCACCACCACCCAAACGGCAAGGTGCAACACCAGACACCACCAAGACCAGCACCGCCGCTGCATAGATGAGCTGATTGGCGAATTCCAAAGACAGAGGCAGGGGTAACCCCAACAGGAACAGTCTCATGCCACCGTTGACCAAGGCAATATTGCTGGAAAGTGACCAAGGCAACATTGCTGGAAAGTGACCAAGGCAACATTGCTGGAAAGTGACCAAGGCAACATTGCTGGAAAGTGACCAAGGCAACATTGCTGGAAAGTG